GTGCTGTTAGTCGATTCCTCGTGGTCGGTTCTCCTAGATAGCGTGCTTTCCTAGCGGTTTCCAGAAAACTCGAATTTGGTGTGTGTGAGTACTAGCTTAATAATTACTGCTATAAACTAGTTGTTATGGGCGAGAGAGGCCTAACTAACGAGTATGCATTCACCTATTGTACAGAAGAAGAAAGATGTTTTAGCTAGGTTAGCTACTTAGATTACTAGGTTTCTAGCAATCTCTAAGGCCTCCTTAATAGAAGTTGCCTTTGGTGTTTTTCCTACTATAGGGTATCTTGCCACTGCTCCAATAAATAGAGAAAAATTACTTCTTGTCCTAGTATAGGTAGGCCTAGGCAGTTCTTCTAGTTGCCTGTTAGGGCAAGGCGTAGAGGCCTCCTTAGCTATCTCAATTTCTAGATTATTATCTATTAGTCGTTTGCTTGTGCCTCTAAGGTTATTTAAGGCTAGTCTTTTTTTGTTATTTCTATTATTTTAATATAGTTATCTATGTTTCTTGCTAAATTTAAGCTTTAATAAGCTCCTGCTGTAACGGGTCGAGTCCTATTAGACTGCGCACGCAACTACAACGCGCCCACCGCGCCAAAAAGGCTGGCACAAGATATCAGAGCTGCTGATATCGTTGCGTAGTTGATACATAAGATAGCCACCGCTATCTGTACTGTAGCGGGCTACCTAGCCCGTTACACCTGCGTTCCTATTAGCCCCTCTAGTCTTGGCATTAGAGCCTAAGCTCTGTGAGAAAATTCTTATAGGCGTGAGAAAACAAAGGAAGGCCTCCTTTTTCTCTCTACTACGCGCTAGCGCCTTAGCTACAGGTGTTAAAAGTGCTGTTAGTCGATTCCTCGTGGTCAGTTCTCCTAGATAGCGTGCTTTCCTAGTGGTTTCCAGAAAACTCGAAGTTGTTGTGTTGTGGTCGGTTCTCCTAGATAGCGTGCTTTCCTAGCGGTTTGCAGAAAACTCGAAGTTGGGTGTGGCAATTAGAATTAGTATCAGCGGTAAGTGTGCTATACTTTCGAAAGATCAACTTACTTCCTGGTCACAGGTTAGTATAGCAACACACAACAAGCTAGATAAGTGGAGAGACTTACAGGCTATATAAGAGTCAAAATTTGTACAGGTATTTAGTTGGCAGCATTAAGAGGATGGGGTACTTACTGCCTGGCAACATGTTAGCCTGAATAACAGATGGAATTTTTTTGTGGAAAGATAAGTACTTACTTGACGAACTTCGAGGGCTTCGTTTGCATACAATGTTACAGTAACAGTTTCGCGAGCTTGAAGAGCATTGATCGTGGGTGCATTTTGACGGGCTGTGACAGTTTGACGCGCTTCGATGGCGTTATTTTCCCGCGCTGTGATGGGAACAGTTTGACGAGCTTTTAGGTCGTTATTCTCTCGCACTAATACTGTAACAGTTTCGCGAGCTTTAAGATTTTGAGTTGCAGTTACGGTTATAAAGGTAGTTGCGCGAGCCTCTATAGCACCGTCCCCTACGGTTTGACGAGCTTCTAGATCGTCGATTAAACGCGCTACTACTGTAATAGTTTCGCGAGCTTTAAGGCCTGGCTGTACTGTTGCAACAACTTGACGAGCTGTAATAGGTTGGTTGATCACCTCTGTTGCAACTACCTGACGAGCTGTAATAGGTTGGTCGGCCGCCTCTGTTGCAACTACCTGACGAGCCGTAATAGGTTGGTTGATAACCTCTGTTGCAACTACCTGACGAGCTTGAATAATCTTGCTCGCATCGTATTCAGGAGCTGGTGCACTAGCGACTAGTACAGGGAAGGCTAGGGACAAGGCAGCATTGAGCTTCATGTTGATAATTTAAGATAATAAAAGAAGAAGATAGAAAGATTGCTGGAGTATGAGTTGCTTTTCTCGTTGTTGTCGTTGTCGTTGTCGTTGTAGTTGTAGTCGTTGTTGTGAATACTGAAATTCAAGCCAGAATCTCCTCAGCTTTATAGAGAGCGCAGTGCCTTCCAAGAACATGAATCGCACCCGCTTGAAGCCGGACATTTTCTTTTCACCCTTGCCTCTAGGATACATGCAATGCAGGGTGATTGTTTTGGGATCGTTGTTGTTACTGAATCATTGGTGGTGAATGGCGACCCATGTCCTCAACACATGGGAACCATTACTGTTGACCGAGGTTACTATCACAGGAATACCAATAGGGATTAAGGTAGTCCGGAGGTGAGCGGAGAGGCGGAGAATAGTGACCTGGAGGTTGATCGTTAAACCTGCTTGCTGTGTTAGCGTTGTACGGCATTCGGGGTTGTAGGAAATTCGGGGTTGAGTGTGGCTATGTTCTCCACTTATCACTTCGTAGCTGCAGAGACCTGTTTCTCCCATCCATTTCTATTCTAGATCGATCTATTTAGAGATGGTTCACACAAGACGGCCCATTTCATATCACAAGACTGCAAAGTAGGCTGTTTTGAAACTGTGAAAACATAGCAATACTGAAACGGTGGCTGATGCAGTGAGCGCTGTTGGCCCTTGCGAACATCAGATCGAATGATTAGTAATTTCATATTAGTGTCTTGCTAGTCATGATAGCAATATTCCCCGAGCCATGACTCGAGCTGCCAAGTGTAGTTAAATGGTATAGGGAGTCAGAAATAGCGAGTTGATTCAACATTGGAGGGATTTCCTGTTCAGTAGCCTATTGGAACTATACGCTTAAGTCGCTCTCAATCTAAAATCACCGATGAGGCAATGTACTAAAAGTAACGTTGTGGGTATCCAAGCAGCTGGTCCACAATAGCTCATGCTCTAATGATACACTTCTGGGGCTCGGGAAACGGCCACCTTCTATCCCGAGGACCATACCATCAACAAAGCATATGCTTGCGAGGTACAGTATTGTATATAGCGCTTCCGATTGGCGAGATCATGCCAAGTAGAATAACGCGCCGTTCCTTCGATCCCCTACTATCACGTCACATGAACTTATCGATACCCGGACTTTCCTCCGGAAATGGACCGCAACTGTTTCACCTTGAATATGTTACAATTGTCACCATGCGAAGTCGGAGCGCTACTTGGTGCTCTTGTAACTACTGAGCTCTTGCCACCATATTCGTTCTTGAAAAGTGCAGCTATTAACAAGTCAAGGTCTTGTGAGTCGCTGTTCTCAGCCCATTGAGACTGTTGTAATATCTGAATTCGCTTTGTTACAACTGAACTTTCATGGACAAGTATCGCTCAATTGATTATACTTCCCATGTACGAAAACTAACCATGGCTACTACATGAGGTATTTAGTGGAAGTGTTTGAGAAGATGTTGATACACTCTATCACATTGTTCAACACACCACCTCCACAACAGAAATCGAACAGTCTCTAACTGTATTTTGGCTAGTATTGCTCGATCTCTTTTGTGTAGGGGTGAACAGACTGCACCACTGACTCGGTTGTCCCCAGAACACCGGCTATCCAGCCAATTACAGCTGTTATCCTAACCGATTAAATTGCCACTCCGGATAGTAGACCCAGAAAATTAGTGATGCAATTGCGATGATCGGCATACAAGTGCAAGCCTACAGCATTGCCACAAAACCCGTTTTAGAAAAAACACTACTTTCAGCAAACTCTGTGTAGAAAGCAGAAAAATATTCCGGAGATCATTGCTGCCATGAGCATCATTGGTAGGGCTCGAAAACCCGAAGCGAGCCAGCTAGTCCGAATCGGGTATACAGATCTACCCAGCGCTAATGAGGCTCTAGAAGATAGTACATCCGGCGCGGCCCTACTGAGCTCCACTCTTGCTTTAGATACATTGATATACGCAGGTCCTAATTCAAGACATACGAGTAGCATTTACTCAGTGCAGCTAGATTGGTTGTGGAAGCATCGGATTCCAGGCCACCATCGGCTTTTTGTCTATAGCACCTATTTTCTATGCACCATATCATATCATGTATTATTGATGGACGCATAAGCATTTATATCCGGTTTTGAGTATGTGCGTCCCCAATAAGCTATATATGTGTTGAGTGTGTAATTCAGTTTTATAGTATATAAAGCATTTTCGCAAGTGTTACCTTGAGTTACACATGCGTAAGCAACCACACGAATCGCTCTTTTCAAGCTATTAGCGCGAGAACCTCTAGCGTGTGATGCATTTTGCATCAGAACAAGCATGGGAATTATCACCTTCCTGTATAGTTAACTGGCATGGGGCTTTGGGGGGACTAAGCCTGACTATGTACGAAGCCGAACACTTGGCGCCAGTGGATCTCCACGGAGACTTGCATCTCTTCTCTTTACACCTACTAAAGGCCGGTTGCTTCGGGTATCATACATAACATTTACGACATGAGCATTCTATGATTAACCTCTCCATTAATGCTCTGCCATAAAATACTATAAAGCCGTGTCAAAGTAAATGAAATGGAAAATAACACTACTACCGTGAAAGACATGTTCACATGAATTAGCAGTCACGGCCATATCGAGCGCACTGTCGTCCTTCTCCCTGCCCGGCGGACCGATACCTTTTGACTAGGTGGCGACTTCTTGACGTCATGCCGGTGCGTGAATCTTGTGATGGCGCACATTGAACATGGCTTGCCAAACTGCTCGGGATGGGCATCGTGGAACTGCCGAGTGCGGTAGAGTTGCAGAGCCAGTGCTTCCACATCGACCCGTAAGATCCATGGCGAGTTGGGGTTGCCTCTGATTCGATGCGACGTATGGATGGCAGTAGGCGAGAGGTGGTACTGTCTTTGAACTTCTTCGATTGTCTACGCTGACTCCTTAGCTTTTGTATTATTGTGGAAATTATTAGACGATACTCACCATGGCTTGACGGTAGAAGCAGCCTTCACAGGCTGTGAACAGGCGATTGACTCGTGAAAAGGGATAGCAATCCAATGTCGCATGGCAGTACACACACATGCGTGGGGCATGCTGTAGCCATAGTCGCCGGTACACGATACTACTCAGATCAGGATAGACGCAATTGGGCCCGTACATGTCGAGCTGGGCGAAAGGAAGGTTGAACATGGTGCGATTGCATCGACGGACCAGATGGGCGCAGTAGGCTTCGACCAGTGCGTGACATGTTCTGGATGTCAGGGCCAGAGCATTGAAGGGGTGCGAAACTAAGCGTAGGGAGAATATATCGGCAGCCCAGCGATGAGTGTCGGCCGACTGGGTGAGATCCTCCTGGTTCTTGATGCTACGTTTCTGCTTCTCTGAGACTTCCCATCCACTCTGAGCCTCGGTAAGACCTGGAAGGCGACAACGGGGATGGATGAGGTAGCAGAGGATGCGGTTGACTATCTCAACTGGAAGTGTCTCCAGCTTCTGACGGCAAAGCACGTGCTCGTTGTTGCCGGGGCGATTCGTAAAGTGTGTCATGGCGGCCCCGCAGCAGGGGAAATCAGGCAAGGCTGGGCTTTGTGAGTGTTGCACAGGACTCGCACGGCAGACCATCATCAGCCTGGCGTTATGTGCAAGTACAGTTTTGACCGGCTCAGTGGCAGAAACAGTGAACGAAGGCATTACGGGCAGCAGAAGCGGGACAAAGAGCAGGAAAGCTCGCCATTGCCTCCAGACGGTACGATAGGCTTATAGCTGGCGATATGCGAAGAAACGACGTGTAGCAGAGCTGCGGCATTGGGCTGCATCCGACCAACGAGCATGTCGGGATGCCGAAAGCTGGCTCCTCGCGGCTGTGATTAGTCCAGGTCTCGGGCGGGTGCGTGCATAAAGGCAGATGGAGGGGCTTTTTTTCACGATGCTACATGCTGCTGTGGCACGAGATTGGCGAAACAGGTGGTGACAAGTGCCCGCGGATGTGCAGTGAAGGTCGGGTGGGATAGTGGGGAGCACGCAAAATGCGGCCAACTCCGCGATGCCCAAACGGGCTTAGCGCAAGGCCCTCGAATTGAGCCGTCGGACCACCTTTCTTCCCCTTGACACTCGACGAGTTAAAGCTTGGCTGACAGCGAGCGCGCACGGGAAATCAACACCATGGCTGCCCACGCCTCAGAGGGACCCGTCGCCGCCCAGGACTCCGTTCCGCCGCCCGCCCCGGCCGGCAAGGCGGAACCGACGGCGGGGGGCGCGACCAAACCCAAAGAAGAGGACGCGCCTGCGCCCGAGCACGACGACGAGGATGGTGGCGTGTGGGACTCGGCCTCGCTGTACGAGGAGATTTTGGACGAGGTCGAGGCCTTTGAATACTCCAGCGACGGTGAGTCTGGCCCAGGAGCCGCCTTGGTCGCCGCCTATTGACAGCTGCCCAGGTGTAGACATGTGTACCGCCGACGAGGCGCGTCGACTGCGCCAGCGATTGCACGAGGTCGGCGCCAGCCAGTTCGTTATGGAGAACATCACCAGCGAGAAGATGACGGCGCGCAAGCTGTGCACGGCGTTTGGCGTCAAGATACCCAAGTTCCTCGAAGAAGCCCCCGACGAGAACTTCTACCAGCTGCTCGGCCTGGCCATCAATCGCGAGCTCAACAAGCGCCCCCGCCTTGACCAGTACAAGACCATTGAAGACGCTGCCAAGCTGCTGCAGGAGCGCAAGAGCATCATGGTCATCACCGGTGCGGGCATCTCGACCAGCCTGGGCATACCCGACTTCCGCTCCAAGAACACGGGCTTCTACTCGCGACTGCTGCAGATGGGCTACGACGAGCCCGAGGAAGTCTTTGATATTCACAACTTTGACGAGAACCCGCGCACCTTTTATGCGCTGGCTGGCGACATTATACCCGACCTCGAGAAGTGGACGCCCACGCACGAGTTCATACGCCTGCTGCAAGATAAGGACAAGCTCCTCACCAACTATACCCAGAACATCGATAACGTTGAGGCAAATGCGGGAATACGCAAGGAGAAGCTTATCCAGTGCCACGGTTCCTGGGCAACTGCAACGTGCCGGAAGTGCAAGTTCAAGGTGCCGGGCGAGGAAATTTTCGACGATGTGCGCGCACAGAGACCGGCCGAGTGCAAGCGCTGCAAGGAAGAGATTGCCGCACAGCCCACCAGGAAGCGCAAGCGGGCCTCTAACGGCAACGGCAGCAGAAAGAAGCGATCCAGCGACGAAGACTCGGAGTCTGATGGCGCCTTTGACATTCCGCAGCCCGGCATCATGAAGCCAGACATTACCTTCTTTGGCGAAGCACTCCCCAACGACTTCTTCGACAGGTTGAAAGACGTGGACAAAGACAAGGTGGACTTGGTTATTGTCATGGGTACGAGCATGAAGGTCGCCCCTGTCTCCGAGATACCCAACTTCCTGCCTCGAGACGTACCGCAAATATACATCTCCCGAGATCCCATCCACCATATCAACTTTGACATTAACCTTCTTGGCGATTGCGATGTTATCGTGGCCGAGTTGGCCCGTCGTGCGGGTTGGGATCTCAGCCACAAAATGATACCCGATGGCCAATCGGTCGAGGTAACACTCACCGATGATGTGGACCACATCTCTACTGTCAAAGTCCACGTCCCGGTGGCGACCACGACAAACAACCATATTAACGAATCAGCATGAGCGTAGAGTTTAGCGTGTAATTCTGTGTATTGATGGCGTTATGATTGGCATTACGAGTGGCGTTTACAGGGGCATTGTGTATTCTGGACGCAGAGGGTAGACGCTGGCCCCGTGATGTAACTCAGATTCAGGAGTAGGGCGTTGGGACACCATCACATTGAGAGCAGCGGAAGGGCGGTTTGGAAGATACCATGGATCGAGGGTATGCGCAGGGGAGACACATCATATGGTCTTTATTTCATCACATCCCCTTTGCCGCATATAGACTCTTTTTTTCTTTTTCCTTGCGCAGCATCATCCGTCAATCGAGTCTTTTTTCCCTTGCAAGAGCCGTGTTTGGATACAGTCTTGTCAAACTCCACTTCTCACGTCAGCCCCCACGTGCTCTTCGATCACGCAAAAAACACTGTACATGAGACAATCTATCTAGATTGCACAGCCTGACAAAGCTTTTGCTGTGAAAGTGTAGCAACCCAATCATAGACCTTGACATTAAAACGAAACCCTCACCTATATTCTGCAACTTCAAAAATACAACAGGATACATGTTGCTCGGTACATCTGTATTTTCTTCGAATGCGTACTGAGATGACTGCGCACCACAGATCTTCCCACGATAATAGCCTTTATCAACAAATCAATCAATTGAAGGCACACAAGCGATTTCTAAAGGCCCCTCATTCCTTGCATGTCAGGGCTCTGGAAATAAAGCCACGCTATTTTGCGCTAAAGCAACACCCACCCCTTCCCAGCCACGGGCCGCGCCACTGAACTATAGATGCTGATTTAAGATTTCCCCAAGATCCCAGATCTGATTATCTCTTGGATCGCGACAATATAACCCGCCTTGGTTCTCGAAACAGGAATAAGATTTTCAAAGCTGAGTTCTTTTGAGGGACCGTAGGTGTAGTACTTAGTGCAAGAGCAATCTTCAAATGTGTCGCACCAGATATTTCATGCATTGTCTATACAACGCACCCAGCGCTCTCAGTATTTGCAAAACACAAACACAGACTTATGCGCCTCATGGCATCCCGCTGTGAAAGATGGACACCTTTCCCCTGCTCCTCATCGGTTCGAAGAATTCAGATCAAGGTATCTCTTCTCTCCCTGGTTCTCTCAGGCCCGCGCCAAGTATACTTACGCGTCTTAATTTCCAGGATGGGGCTGACAACGAGGAGGCCGAGATTCAAACTGGAATTAGCGGTTATTTCTCCTGTGCGAAACCATCGGCAGTCGAGCCATATCCAGGCTAACGCAACCAAGCTTTTCCGCTCGGCGTGTCGTCGCCTGGGTGGAGCAAGCCAAGCAATGCACAGTCCCCCAGCTGACGACACGCCTCCCCATCCACTCACCTCTCTCTCTCTCCACTCCGCTGGTTTCTTCGTCACGCCCTCATGTAGAGTGCCCCCATACGTTTTCGAAGCCTTGTTGAAACTGCATTTTGGACCCACGCGAGTAATAGCAAAGCCGCATGTTTATCGACGTTCAACATCATCGGCCAGCCCGCCTTCTGCATACCTGTATGAGACGACTCGAGACCTGTTCGCGCCGGTGGATCATCGCTCTACTTACCTGAACATTTTAACGCCGTTGATCGCAATGAGAGATGGCTTTCCCTGGCTCTATCCGGAGCGCGATCACGAGAGGGCCCTTTTGCCCACCAGTCAAGTGCATGAGTTTCCACCCGAGAGGGCAATTGTGGGGATGTGTCAAAGAGCCATTGGCGTTGGCGTGTTTGAGAAGGCCAAAAGGCGCCGTTTGTTAATGCCGTACGACCCAGACGGTGGTATAGGCAGATGCTGCACCCTTCGTTGTAGCTATAACCAAATGCTAAAATACTGGCAGTTCTATACTTATCACTCGCTGGTGCAATAGGATTTTGTAAAAGTCTTATAGGCGCACATTATTCGATCGATTGATAACTGCCAGGGTCACGCATACTACTGACCCACAATACCACACAACTAGACAGCATCCAAGCACGCATGATGTGACATCTTCTTGGCTTGGCGCAATCATCCGAAACAAGGCTGATCTGGGCAGGAAACGATACGTGGAAACCAGCCATCCACCCAAGCATGTCGTGTTTCAAACAAATGATCATTCCTCCCAAGATGTGCAAAACGGTCCGTCAATATGGTGGCCGACTCCTCCTTTTGCCGTCTTCATAGCGCGTGTGTTTGGCTGGGCCTCTATGCACGGAGAACCCATGCATATATTTCGCGCAGATGCATTTCTGGCAGGATTAACGAACATGTAATATGTAGAGAGACTACCGAGTGGGTCGGAAATAGTATATAACTAGGCGAAAGACACATTATGAAGCCTGCGCTCATCGTCGAGCCAATTGCCTACAACGGTTTTAGATCTACAATTCGTTCATTTTCATCGACCTTCGCTCTCTACTTAACGCATCCCACTGCCTTCGCTTTCCAAATCCAACTACATACTTTTGAAAACCGAACAGCGCGACTCTCATTCCGCTCTATTATACCCAATCATCACAATGAAGGCTTCGGTTGTTGCTTCCATCCTGGCTTTCAGCCTTTGCGCCTCTGCCGGCCCAGCAAAGAACCATCCAGATGACTTCTTCGCCATGACGAAGCGGGCCTCCCTCCCCGTGCCCAAGGGCAACGGCACTATGACTCTATCCAAACCCCAGGAAATTAGCGGTGTCTTTGACGGAGGCATGAAGACATATGGCCGTGGTGTCTCGTGCACCGGTCAAAAAGAGGGCGGCGACTCTGACGCCGTCTTCCTCCTCAAGAACGGTGCTACGCTCAAGAACGCCATCATCGGTACGTCTAGTGATTTCTCCAGACAATCCCAACCAGCTATTCTAAGGAGACCTCTTTGCTAACCTACTCCTCAGGCAAGGACCAGGTCGAGGGTGTCCACTGCGAGGGTTCCTGCACCATTGAGAACGTCTGGTGGGTTGCTGTGTGTGAAGATGCTCTGACTATCAAGGGCGACGGTGACGCTACTGGTAAGTTGTATCCTCCAACCCCCCTTTTTCTTCATCACAAGTAACCAGCATGCTAACACGCACCGGCACAGTCATCGGCGGAGGCGCCACCGGCGCACAAGACAAAGTAATCCAGCACAACGGCGCCGGCACCATCACGATCAATGGCTTCACTGTCAACACCTTCGGTAAGCTCTACCGTGCCTGCGGTAACTGCAAGAAGAGCGCCAAGCGCCACGTCGTCATCAAGGGCGTAAAAGCCTCCAACGGCAAGCTTCTCGCAGGCATCAACCCCAACTTCGGCGACACGGCCACCATCGACGCCTCGACATGTGCTACGGGCGTTGATACAATCTGCGAGGAGTTCAAGGGTACCACGCAAGGAAACGAGCCCGCGTCTGTCTCAAAGGGCCCGTCCGCCGCCTGCAAGTTTACGAGTCCCATGAAATCGTGCTAGGCGCTGTGCGCTGGGAAAGTACACAGATAGGAGAATGCATATATATGCATATTTTGAATTATCGCAAAGCGGGATTTTGTAAATGCCGGAGATGCGCGTGGTATTGGATACTGGCTAGAAGCCATTTTCCCAGCCAATGCCATCTCTTCATTTCTTGTATGTACTTTGTTCTTTTTAAACTCTAGACAAGAGCTCTACTAGGAAAAGTCTTGTTTTTTCTTTCTTTCTCACACTCTTTTATTGTTGTGGCTTTGAACAAGGGTATGGTAGGCATGGTCTTGTCCTATAGCGCTTGGTGATGCGCAGGGTCGTTTCTAAAGTCTGCTTTTAAGCTCTTGTATAGCTGTACGGAGTATTACAAACGACAATCAGCATAAGACCTCTTGATGGTCTCCCATTAGCTGGCTGGATATACAAGTCACATGACGTGACTTGGGCGAATGCAATAAAATAAATTAACCAACTCCTTCTCCAAACACAACTGCTAAAGGTTTCATTGAGTGTTATTGGTGATGTAGCTTATTGTATAGCTGAAATGAAGGCATTTTATTTTATCTTGCTCAGTGTCCCTTTCTGTGCTACCTCGCTCGGCGCCTGCGCAAAGCTATTCGGACTCTTCCATGGCATTATCGGAGTCTTCCTCGGGTCGACGACTATTTGCATCCTGCAGAATCCTGGTAATCTCCAGCCGACCCACGGATATATCCGACTGTAGTTTATTGAGCCATTTTGCAGCAGTCAATTCCAACTTAGCGCCCTTGCCGGGCCGTAGATTCATCGACGTTTCCCATGCGACAGTAATACTGAGCAAAGTTTCGTAAGTATGCTGTCAAATCTTCCTCGCGGTACTCGTTCCCAATATAGAGGGTCAGGATAATATAACCGCATCCGGGCGAGATGTACAGGATCTTCAATGTCCATCAAAGTCATGGCTAGTTGGATCACTTGGTCTTTGTCGTCTCCTGCCTGCGGGAGATGCCAGTCCCAAAACTGTGCTGCATACATCGCCAGCGCGTATTCCTCGAATACATCTGGTGTTAGTGGCTGCGTCATTTGGACCAAATACTTCAAACAGTTTTTTGCCATCTCGCTGTGACATTTTGAATCTTGCATGCTGTACTGTTTTGCCGATCCCTGCTTGATCTAATCTGACACAAGATACTCTTGAACTGAATAGTGTGCTAGAGAGAGGATCTGCTGCGCAGGCAGGCTTGCTTCTGATCTTTCCCTGATTGATGTGATGGTGACCAGGCTGGAGCAAATGCTCAGTGCTTCTAGCGGGTCTTCGAGCACCTCGTCGCGGTCGAACGACAGGTCGTGCGCCACATCGATAGCGACGACTTTGGCAATCTCTTGGACAGAGAGCTGCTGCTTAGAGAATACTAGCTACTATAGGATTCTTCTAGCGTACTTGTAGTTATATTCGCTAATAGTGCATAGAATGCGATTATATATCTAATCCAGCATTTACAGTAAAGTAGCGAGTGCCTTGCGCAGCATCGCGCGATTACGGCACCTCTCCAGTGTGTCCAGCTGACATACTGCCTATTAGAACCTATATTCTTATTAGCATTATTCGTAAAAAGAACGCCGTAAACATGCGTACATTCTGTGTGCTCCATGCATGAGTGCAGTCTCCCGATAGCAGCATCTTGATTCCACTTCGCTAGGCCCCTATCGTCATGCAGCCTTTGCTGAACATAGCGCTGTATATCCTGGTCAAACACATCCCTCTGGAGACATATGATATCCGCTTGCTCAATATATTCCTCTAAAGACCTCTCAAAATCCCTCTCTTTTTAGCTCGTCATAAGCAGATGCAGGTTGCTAAGCTGCCACCCAGCTACTATTCCAAGCATGTTCATTAGTTCTAGACGCCGCGCACATTCATCGAGGGCGTCAAGAACGACGTAGATATTCGCAAACTGTAGCATAATCCGTGGCGTCACTTCCAAGATGGCATCCAGTGATGGCTGTTGTTGTCCCTTTCCGCAAGATGTGAACATTGCGTTAATGTCTTTTGGTATTATGACCAAACGCTGCAGGAGCAAGGAATGGAGCATCAACTCAGGATTCTGTTTCTGTGTATCGTTGAAGTCAAAGTATAAGTACACCGTTATCATGCTAATGTCATCATAGCAGTGCTGTACCAGATGCTCGAGGATAGTAGAGCTCAAGAATATTTTTCCGCATCCTGGAATTCCAAACAGCCAAAGTCGTAAAGCTGCCTTCTCCTTCCAGTCTGCGAACTTTTTGCTTTCTAGCAACTAAAGCCTAGTCTTAGCCTGTCGCTGCTTAAGCGCTTTGTGGTAATTCTTAGACGGACTAGATGTTAAAATCCAGTTGTAGATCTTTTCAAGTCTCTTTTCTTGATCATGACTGCGGCCTTTATGTTTTAGAATAGCTGCACGTCTTAGCCGCTTGAGTGCATTTTCTTCGCCTTCACCGTATATGAGAGGTAGGTGGATACCGAATATCCCGAATAGACAATATGCTCTGTCCTCTTCGCGTGTGGTCTCGCGGTTTTTTGTCCAGGCGAAACGTTCAGCTACGCTAAAGTCGGACAAGCCGCTCCCTAACAAAGCATTCATGGGGATCTCTGTGATCTCGTGGATAATTTGCTTGAGCGTCTCTTTGTCCCCCAAACGCGCTCCGTTTTTGGAGAAGAACTCCACGGAAGAAGGAGCTAGGAGTTCCTGGAGTGTCCAGCCTCGTCTAAACCACCTGCTCTGTCTAAACAGTGACTCGCCGTCCCCGTCTAAAGAGTTGATTTCCAGGTCCGAAAGGAAAACATAGCACTTTCTGGCGTTCTGGTACCAGCAAAACATGGAGTTGATGGCTTCATGAAGCTCCGAACTGTTTGCTTTGTCGATGCAGCAGGTGTCGACCCAAAAATATTCCAATCCATCCATCTGGGCCTGACGCCCGCAGAAAAGCAGCTTTTGGTATCCTTCCTTGCTTTTCGTGTTGAAGCCTTGTGAATTGTCGAGATTCTTTAGATCTTCAAAAGTTACTTCTTCCCCATCCTTCCAGGTATGGGAAAGGATCGCGTAGGGAGGAATACCCTCGCTACGTATGATGTCCCTGGTCCATCGGAGAGCACCGTCGCTTGCAATGTGCAACAGTCTCATTGAGCTGCATGTGTCCACCTGCACGAGCGGGAAAAGAGGGAGTCAATAGCGTAAAGTGTGGATATGATAGTCGTTAGCCTTTTTGCGAGTGCTTAGTGAAGATGCAGAGAAGAAAATTCTCCAGGAGCGGTTGTGCGACAATGATTGTTGGGGGCCAGGCAAGGCTGACAACGCATTATTGTGGCACAGCCACTGTTACACAAAACTCGAACTATTGTCTGTCCAATACACCTTCGGGATTACCATGAAAAGCCCAAAGCTACTATTAGTAAAGCCGCGATACTGAAGACTCCTGATCTCTGTTGCCTGGGGCACAGTTCCAGCAATGTACAATGGGGTGTCACAGGTTTCAGACCATCGATTGGCCGCAAAACGTGGTAGACTCGTATCCGTCATATACCTGCTTCGCAGAGTCTGAAATGAACAATACTTTAACATTCTGTTCAATCCAGTTGCACAAGTACCACGTGACTATCCTGCGTTCTCACTCTCACCACTATTACTGCGGGCGTAGACGCGAGGGTAGCATGTATTTGAATTAGACGGTTTTTGAATCTCCCTGTCCTAACGATTTTGTGATCTTACAGGACCGTGAATGTGAAGACGAAAGAAGCATCTATCATCTACACATGTTGAGCCTCAACGGTGCTGCCAGCCGCTATCTAGAGCCCTATTGATCAGCCAAAGCAATGCTCAACTCTTGAATCCAAACGTATATACAATCCAAAGCTAGTACCAAGTCTACACCCCCATGCAGTCAATTCCATAAGGTGGCCATTCTGAGCTACTCGTGACTTCCTCGGGCTCTCCAAAGTCGCTCGCCTCTAATGCCACACCACTCAAAACCTTACCCATGTGCGTCTTTTCAACGCCCTCTCCCTCACGACGAATCTTCATCAATAAGACACGCAAAAATGGTACAGGTGACGTCTGTAGACCCCATTTCCCAGTTGGAGGGTCAATGAAGCCGTCAGCGTACACTTGTTGGCCATCTTCCACCTTGCCTTGTAGTAGACCGAGGAAGTCGCAGAGCTCATTGTACTCTGCTAGTGAGCGAAGATACAAGCTACCAGAAAATAGATTCAACTGCATCGCCAAGCTGCGTGAGATTGAGTCTGGAGAGAATGGACGACCAACGTTGTACAAGGTAAGCTCATCGAGCGAAGCAAAGCTCACGTTGGTGCGCGCGGCGAACAAGTGGAGCGTAACTTTTTTTGACCGAACAATTGACGGAAGCAACTTATTGGCCTCATGTGGGCTGATGATGATGAGTTTGCTGACTGTGGCTTTGTGGTGAGGATCCAGTACAGAAAGTACAAATTGCACTGGTCGCTGGTAAGAGTCGGAGATGAAAGATGCGCGAGTCGAGCCTGGAGGCACCTTGACAGTGTACATAAAGTCCACCGTGACCAGTAGATCCTGTGGAAAATGTTGCAGGTCAATGAGCTTGCCGGCACTAGTCGTGTCTAGTGCCTGAAATGCTGGAATCCATGCTTTTGAGTCGACCATCGTTCCGCTGGTAACCAGCTTCTTGAGATCTGGATGAACACTATGCGAATGGGCATTTAAACGTGGCGGACGCTCAACCTGGCGCTCTTCTTCAATCTCGGGTGCAAGCTCCCTTTCTTGTTCCTCGCTCAATGTAGCAGATCCAAAATTCATGGCTTCGAAATCGCGACACCGTGAGACAATCTTCGTAATGTTAGAGTTCGACATATCCCAATCTCTGAGTTGTGTGTAATGATCGTCCTGGGTGCGGGGCTTGTAGCGCGTTTCCAGGTCTACAGCTTCTTTCTCCAGGAAGGCTTCTGCATCGTCCTTCGTAGTTTGCGGACCATTCAAAAGATGCTTGTGTCTCTCAAAGCGTTCACCTTGCACTGCCCACAGAGGTAAGCTCTTTTTCAAGTCGGACCATGTCTCTCCGATTGCCCATGATAGGACATCGTGGGCATCGAGCTGAGCGCCGGAAGGCTTGCCAGTTCTCTCGTAAATCTTGGTTCGGATTTCCTCGGGAACAACGAATGTAATGGCCTGACCATGACCCAGTTTTCTTAGTCGCATCGCCGCTTGGGTGAGACGGTCCTTACTCAACTGGCTACCCAGTGTAAGGGCTGCGCGGTAATGTCGCGGGAGCTTGAGATCCGTTCCTCGTGTATGCGCCTCGTCCAAGTAGACTACGCATGCATCGAGCATCTTGGCATACGGAGAAGTCTGGAATGATTCAACGCGAGAATTTCGGTCGAGCACTGACAGCTCTTCGTTCTCGAAGTATACCACAGCCTGGATATCGCTGGCGCGCATCTTCAGCCACGTCTCTGCGACCTGTCGGTTGTTTTGCTCAAGAATTGAAGCTCCACAGTCCAACACGACTCTGACATCGAAGTTCAGCTTCTCGATGAACGCGAGCAGATGTTCGCCATCGCAGGTAGTGCTACCTGGTGTCCGTACAGGTAGGTTTTCCACCGCAGTTTCGTCCATCAACAGGTAGGACAATACCTGAGCATTTGTATGGTGCTGACTTGGAAGATCCAGATGCTTGATATCGAGTGGTAGTAGATGCAGGGTATCATTTGTACCAGAGAAACCGGTCGTTGGGTGCGGCTTCTTGATTGCAAGGTCCCAGCCTGATGCACTAAGCTTCTTCGGAAACTGTTTGAGCTGTTTTGGGAAGACTAATTTCGAGAGATAATAGTCGATGGCGTTCTTTGAACGTCGCAGGCTCGGAAATACCTCCATGACGCACTGGTGTCGATCGCGAATGCTGATGCCAGAAAGTTGTTGGAAGGCTTTCGGTAAGCGAGAGGATGCAGTCTTGACGAACTCATTATAATGTATGACTGCTTGATCGGACTTCAAAACGTGTGTGATAGTATCAAAGAGCTCATCATCAGTCAAGCCCCGGTAGTAGTACGATAGGAGAGTCAATATGATGACAACATCTGGGTGAGAGAACTCAGATCTTGGCGAAGGTGAGTCTTTGCTCCTGTATGGTACCTGATTTACAAAATGAGCGTCCGCGTTATACGGATTTGACCAGCGTGATTGCTTACCGCGAGCGAAGTGTTCGGAATACGAGAATCATCCAGGCCAAAATTGACGCGATATCGCTTGCTTGTGAATACAAATCGAAGTACACCGTCCGCGAACAAGCCACGGAGTAATAGGAGTGGCGCCTTGGTAGACTCACTCCAGAACTTGCTTTTTTCAACTGCATCAACTTCCTTGATCTCCAGATCAGTCTTGGTGATGTAGCGGATGATTGCCTCTTGTGTCGCCGGCGACTGTGATCGTGAAGGAATCCCAATACCTAGTCGAACGACAAGCTCGGAAAGTAGTTGCAAGCTTCGATCAGCTCCATCAGCTCTCAAGAATCGAATTCGAGGATATTTGCCATCGGCCTTGTCCTGTATGTCGACCGCTTCAGGTAACTCGGTCTTCACCTGGGCGGCCACAAGTGCCAATCGTGCTAGCACGCGTTGAATAATCAACCATCGCTCAGGGGCGAATTCGATCGACTGCTGCTCTCCCATGGTGTATATCAACTCGAATTTCACTGAGAAGTTTTCGTCGCTCTCATCAACACAGTCGACCGACACTCGATCAAAGAACTGCTGGGTTTCCAGCAGTGAGCGGGCGGTTTCTTTCTCACCAATCAGAACGCATTCTATAGCCATGAGCTTGAAGGAAAGAATATGCTCGGGTTGAATCAGCAGTACGCCGCGCTCAGCGATGCATTGATCATAGATCTGGCGTATTGCCTGGGCGTCGCCGGTACTTAGCCGAAGGTTACGTGAGAAAGGCATTTGGTAAATGCGTCTGCCTAGCATCCCTCCCAGCTTCGCTACAAGCATTTGAAGCATTTGTTTGCTCTGAGGTTTTGCAACGACCACTCTCACGAGCCTGGATTATGATGTTAGTAGGCTCTAAGCTAGCTAGCTAGATAGCTTACTTCTTTTTGTCACCATGATAGGCATTCAGGATAGGCACGATAGTGGTGGACTTGCCACCTCCCATCAACAGCTGCAAGACAACGTTCTCGCCATTTTCTGGAGACCGCATCTGACTCGCAATGTACTCTTGCTCCTTGCGAACCAGAATGCCGCTTTCGGCTTCGAGTAGAAGCGTCTCTGGGAATTGCCGCACATCCCAGTTAGAGTGGCCGACGTGTTGCAACTCCTCAATAAGCTCCATCGGCTTATTGGAGAGACGCACCAATCGCTGCGCCCTTTGTAAATTAGTGATGGCCAAAGCATGTTCTACCATGGCTTCTTTCCAATCTATACTCAACAATTCATAGCGATCACGATGAAGTTGGCTGAGCCAAAACGTAGGTGAGATTCGTGGAGCATGTTTCGTTCGGAAGCCAATCTCCCCGCTGAATAGGTCCTCCAACGAAGAAGTGATCTTGTTGAAGTAGCTCTGGCAGTCGTACAAATACTCTTGGAGAATATCCACGGCGTTTGTAATCAAATCCTGGTGCGTGTGATTGGCGTTGAGATGTTCTTCGAGAGCTCCGCAACTGATACGTAAATGCTCAACGTATTCTCTCTCGCATTTCGATTTGGCATATTTCATAAGCCCCTGGCAGAGGTTCTCGAGCCTACCCATTATATCTGAATGCTTCGTGTTTGTGTGAGCTTTTGCTATAGTGAGGTTGGGCTCGCAAGGCGGTGTGCGAGTGCTGATGTTTGAGGCTGTCGCAAATATTAGCACAGCTGTCTTGAGGGTGGCTAAAATTAACAAACTGGGGTTGGACGATAAGTGAAACCTACCGTCGTGAAAGACCAAAGGCGCTTCCATTCCAAAAACACCCGACACGCTGAGATAGCGGCCGTTCGCGCCAAGACTGTCCCTCTTTTGAGGCAAAGCAACAGAAATGTGTGGAATTGGTACCTTGAGGAACGGTTGACGCGCGAGGACATTCGACACCTGCTCAAGGTATTCCATAAATTTCAGATTGTCATACCATTTTCGGAAGAAGTCTCGAATTTCGATCATCGCATCGGTCGGGTCAAGGTATGTGTTGTAGTCAGCGGCCGACGGAGTACTAGGGTTCGGAATCGGCCATTGACGCTCCAGGTTTTCGATAAATCTTTGAATTGCGCCATTCTTGCGATCACGAAACAGCGACTCGATTCTAATCTCATGATTTTCCACAGTCTCATGGTCGTTCTTGGGCAATCTAGCCTCCATGGATGTATCAAAGGATTTAGCGCTTTCCTGAAGAATGTCGCGTATTTTTCCCCTTTCGTACCTAGTTCCTTGATTCAGGTGAAACACAGGAGCAGCAGGTGGGTGTATGGCTAACATCTCCGGTAGTCTTGAGAATGCCACCAAAGCTTGGATTGCATCCATGTCAGCGGTCTCAGCAAATGCCAGAGTGCAAAGCCAGGTTGCCAAGCTGTAGCGATTGCTGGCTTTATGAACATCTTGATGTAGCGTGCACCAAAGTGCCTTAAGATGCTTCGAACAATCCTCCAGCCATCTAGAATCATATTCAAGACTTCCAGGGTCGAATGAGGTCTGAGCGCCCTGAATCGTAGCATTGCCAAAATGGTTTTGTAGAAGACTACCTTTGAAGTGCGGAATAGCGGTATGTAAAGCAGTTTGATTGCGTAGAGCCAGCGAAGCGGTGATGAAAGCCCGATGTCCTCTCTCATTCTGTGATCTGTCTCTAGCTTGGTACTGGATGTCGTGAGATGTAGTGAACTTCTCGGCGCCGAAACCTGCAACGCGGAAAGTGCATGATCGAATCATGTCGCGTTGGTCCAGTTGAGAATTTGAGACTGACAGGAGCTTCGTTCGAGCCGTTTCGATCCAGTCGAAAACAGAGTTTCCTGGGTGGAATATTCGCATTTTCCCAGCTTGGTCTAGCAAAGATAACACCAGCACTCGAAAGGAGCCATGCTGCAGCAGCGACGGAAGTTTTTCGTCCCACTCAATACTTTGCATTACCCTTAGATGTTCAGGGTACCACCGCCGCTTAACAGAAAGCTCGGCAATACGGGACAACAACTCTACGTTCATCGGAGTAAGAGTATCAAATGAGCGTACTGCTGCTGATCCGAGGATCTCCAGACTACTTTCGGTGCCAGTACGTGCCATCAATGGGTCTGGAAGACATCCGGAAGTAATAGCGTGCAAGTAGCTTAAGAAAAGCCGGCTCTGCAGTTCTGAAGTATCCAGCAATCTACCCAGATCACTATCTACCACATACGCATAAGCCTTGGTGGCCTGTTCCTTGTCAATCGTGACAAATGGGTGATGGTGACCGGGATGAGTTTGATAGCTGATGCTCGATGTGCCGAATGATGTGGGCATTGGTATTAGAACCAGGCGTTCAGCTGTATGCTTATTCTTCAGCACAAGCTTGCTGAGAAGGCCAACGAGAGTTCCAATGCTCTGATTTTTATCAATGACCATGTCGCGATACTGCGAAGAGTGCACTACGGATTCTCCTTGCTTGATGTAGAACCCAAGTTGTAGTCGAGGAAGGTCGATATTGATCGTTTGAGTCGTGTTATCAAGCTTGGCATGCATATGCTCCACCTCTTCCAGTGGCCGTAACAACTTTCCGAGAAGGGTTACAGAGGGACTTCCTAGACTGATCAAGACTTCAGTTCCTTTCACCAACTTCCAAGTCTTATGTCGAGCATTGCGAACCAAACGCCACTCTTCAACGGTCGACTCCCAGGGGCTACCTCGCCGTCGAAAGATTACTTCGTCCCGCTTGTGATCAAACCAGTGGACGTAATCTGCCAGGAAAGCGTGAGGGAGTTGCTGCTGTAACGTGTGCGACGGGACCAGATCGAGCTTCGTGTCATGGCCATGGGCTACCACAAGCATATCATTGCCTTTCATTCCGAAGTCAAGCTTGTAGTTGTGGTATGGAGCCTTGGCTGAGAACCGCATTCCAGGTTCATTGGTCGGCACAACTTCCAACACTGACTTGTGGAAGAGTGGCTCATACATTTTATGGGACATGTATTCGGAAGGCAGTCTTGCTAACGGCAAGCCATTGACAAAAAGTTCGCCGGTGAGCAGATTGAAATGTACTGACAATGAGCCCGAGGTGGTGTGAAGCCAGTGCTCTTGCCTGCCACTGAGTGAGGCCCAAGGTTTTTTTGAATTTGGGGCGAACGCTGCCCAGTTGGCAGTAATAGCATCTGAAAGACCTTTGCTGTTCATGAGGATGTACTCCCTTAACTTTGGGAGGATTCGGTACATTAACCCACTCCAGGTCCGAAGCATACTCTTAAAGAGAGACTGGCTCTCAGACTTGACGGACCCGCTGTTCTCCTGGATAGTTATTGCAGATTGTACCAGCGTAGATACCGCTGATTGGTGCTCCAGGACGATACCAAAGTCGGCAGTCTCCACGTCGTACGTGCTTGCACATACTAGAGCAATCTCCGTAGCCCTCGAACAAAGATCTGTACGCTGATCATCGTCCGTGGATGCAGCCACCCTCTGTTTCAGCCTCAGCACCCACTTGAGACAGATTGAGCGCAGCCGTATGAGGTAACTGAATGCGCGCGAGCGAACACTTTGTTCTGAAGTCATGTTCAGCACTCTGCGAACGAGCAGAGAAAATGTAGCTGAGGCTCGCCATGATTCCCAGTTCTCCTCAACACGCCCAAGAGCAACCTCAAGCTGATCAAGTATTGCATGACTGAAATTCGGCTCAGTGAGGATGCGATGGCGTGTGCGCTCGATGTGCTGGCCTGGACTGCCAGTTTGCTGTGTAGACTGGAAGACTACGCATTGTGTTTCGACTTTTGAGAAATCTATGACTGGTACCGCTAATTGTGTGAGCATGTTTGAGTAAAGGATGTGGTTTCCCAGAGGCAGTACGCCCAAAGCTTTGTACTCGTCGATGGAAAGGTGAGTTGGGCAATCGGACACGCTTGCCTAAGTGCAAAACTTTTATTAGTAACGTTTCAGTAGAACATTTAGAAACATGGACTTACAATGACTTCATTTGCAGGAAGACCGTGTGGCAGAGATGGCGGGTGGTACACGAAGCGGTTGAGCGCCTTCGATCGAGACGGCATTTGATACATGCAGTTCTTTGGGATTTGCTCTGTACAAACTGGTCTCACCGTGTTGAAGTGACCACGAACAGAGTCGTAGTAGCCATATTGCAGGGCGTTTTTCAGACAAATGTCGCTGTCTTTCAGATGAGGAATCGCTTTCATCTTGGATCGATGGGTCACTGTGTGACTCTTGACCTGAGAGAGCAGCGTAACGCGCCTTTCGCGGTGATTCGGAGACAACATATGGGAGATATCATGGTGATACTGGAGGGTATATGAGCAACTCGGTCTATGTGGACTCTTCTCTTGACAACCCAGCACAGTATTGATGAAGTATGCAGAAGCATCTCGCCAATTACCGAAAGCTTCGGGTATCCTCAGCTCAAACACCGTGGCTTTTGCTGTGGATGGTATGTCAGAGAGCGGCCACTCGTATATGGATATGGTCAGAGCGTCTGCATCCCTCTTGGCTGTGCATTTGCGGCATCTGCGCGCATGTACTGGTTTCGTATAACCATGATAAGGGTTTGTGACCACGGTACGATATTCACAGACGGAGCTGCTGTAAATTTCCATGTACTGGCGGTAAAGACTCTTGATGTTTTCCAATTCCTCACACTTTTTCTGTCGCTTGATGGCAGCATCATCCTCGATCTGCTTCAAGATAGCCTGGAGCGATGCGCATTGATCAAAGTATCGGACTGCGAACGAGGACGGTTTACCAAACTCTCGGTAAACAGAAGGCTTTCCCTTTGATGCTTGGAAACGCCGTGAATCAACATAGCTCTCAACGGTGTGGAGACGCTCGAGTTGACTTTTCAGGGGAAGTACAAGAGATTGAAATTCCATCAAATCGACTTCTGGATCATACTCGATCAGCATAGGATAGATGGCGCATGCGCATTTGTCGCATGAAATCCAGAGCTCCGCAAGCGTCAGATACATGATGGACATGGCGACAGGCGCTTGAGCATACGCAGTACTAGCGATGTCATAGTAGTTTTGCATCAATGTACGAAGCTTCCCGCAGGCGTTCGCATCGTAAATATGGTCGCTGGTCCAATTTGAAAGAGAGTGCTCGACCCATTTCTCAAAAGCCGCCAGACGAAAGTACTTGTAGTCATCAGGTCCCGCCAAATTGCTTGGGAGTTCAGACTGGGGAAATGCCGGATACACCGAGGTTGGAGTATATGTAGACGAGTTTCCTTCTTGTTTCCGAGAGGCTATCTGAGACAAGAAGTTGTCCATGCTTGAGAGACGCATCTCAAGGTCGATCTTTGGCTTTAAGTTGGCGACGCCGCTTGTGTCAATATTGCCTACGGTCATGTCGACCAAGCCAAGCCAATGTTTGTTGATGACGCTATGAGCATCGCAAATTCCACTTTCCATGTACTTAAGCCAAGCAGTCTTGAGATAGTCAGTCTGTTTGAGGAGCTTGAACTTGCGCATGCGTCGCGTCAGCTTCGCGGAGACGACATGGATGGGTTCGCTTCCCAACTCTTTCCAGTTTTGCTTGGCCATATCAAGCAGTCGTGCCAATAGGAAGATTGCAAAGGCTTTGTATAAGCCGTCCTCAGGTAGCGATTTTGGTGCTTGGCGCACAAAGACGAGTTGAAGCGACACACGTAACAAGAGCCACAATGGAGAACGTCGCCATGGAGAAAGGCAACTGTCCCAAAGAATCTCTTCCCGTGTATGCTTCCAGATACGCTTGACGTCTGTAGTCTCACCGAAGGCTGTAAGGGTACTCATGTAGAAGTTTGTGACCATACCAGGATCGGTCGTGTCGCGTTCTTCGCTCATTTCCTTTTTGTTCTTGGTGATCTGGGGCTGAAAGCTTGGAACCTTCTGCGTAGTCATCTTCGCCAAGGTGCTGGAAATGGATTCACGAAGATCCGCACTGCTGGTCATCTTGGTTACAGAAAGCTTGACAGCACAGCCTGGAAAGCTTCGTATGAGTCGTCCAGTCTTCATGGCTCCTGCGTTGGTGGGCGAAAGTTCAAAGGATTCGAAGTTGATGTTATCTCCAGATTTACTGACAAGGAGTCCAGCATTCTGTTCTTTTATTTCAATGGGTACAGCGCCAGTCGTATCACCGTTTGCAAGTTTGCCAAGAAGCTTTTGTAGTTCGAGCTGATTGGTACATCCATGCTGGTCGCGGCAAAGCTGAAGATTCTCAACAGTAGCGATAGCTGCGTCGACGGACCCGATATGTTCGTTTTTGACATGATTTTTCAGAACTTTAAGGGCTTGAATGACATTTTTGATGAGAGCCAAGTCGTGCGAAGCACTGCGATCGTCTTGTTGTGGGAGCTTCGGGGGGAGAACGACATGATGGTATTGGTAGGTTATGGCCCTCGCTGAAGGCGCCATATCTAAACAATTCAGTAAGTGTATTATTAGTGAACCTGAGTGCGTACCTACTGCAGATTTGGTCACTGCAACAAGTCGTGATGGGAAGTGTCGTATCGTCAGTCGAAACTGTGTCGCAACGGGGAGAGGAATATCGATGGCCAAAAGCTTGCTGATTCTAGTGGGCGTTTAAGTAAAGGCAGAAGAAAATTTGCTTGTGCGCTTTGTTGATTGCGGTTTCGACAAACGGCTTGATTTCACCTTCACCTTCACCTTATACTTGCGTCATCTCGAATCGCCACGCCGCAATTAGGCTCACCATCTACGCAATGATAAAGCTGAGCATGGTGTATTGCTCAGCCTCGCAGTTAATGTTCCTCGATTCATGCGTTTGTGAAAACAATATCGTACAGACAGCCCAGGACGAATAGATGTTCCCGGCAGTGTGGTGGGCGCGTATCAAGAGGCAAGATGCACAAGGCAACAGCCTTATCATACCAGCTTCGACTTGAAATACCGGATACAAGAGACATGTAAAAAGCCTTGTCTTAGCCTTGTCCAAGTGCGCGTTTTTGATTGGCGAAGACTTTGCATGCGATTTCCTCAGGCTGCGATGCGCCACGCCGCACGTGCGCCGCAGTCTAAGCCACCCTCAACCCCCATTTTCAAGCCTTGTCTGTCCTAGCTCTTGACGGTTGGTGAAATCTTCGGTTAAGGTATGAAAGCTAAGAGACAAAGGCAGAGAATGAGCGGCCTCTGATCGTGCGTCATTCCGAGATGCTGGCGAGTCGCTGCTCGTAGCTTGTGGCGACATATCGACTGAATTGTTATCGCAAAATATCCGAGTACAAGAGAATGATATGAAGAATAAGATGAAGAGAAAGACAAAGAAGCGAAATCTCGTGCGTGTATGAAGAGATGTCTTGGTGGAAAGAGCGAGATAGCTAAGCGCCAATGGTCACGTGCCATTTACATACAACTTCGAGTTTTCTGGAAACCGCTAGAAAAGCACGCTATCTAAGAGAACCGACCACGAGGAATCGACTAACAGCACTTTTAACACCTGCAGCTAAGGCGCTAGCGCGCAGTAGGGAGGAGAAGGAGGCCTTCCTTCGTTATCTCACGCCTGTGAGAATTTTCTCACAGAGCTTGGGCTCTAATGCCAAGACTAGAGGGGCTAATAGGAACGCAGGAGCTCATTGAAGCTTAAATTCAGCAAGAAACACAGACATATTAAAACAATAAAAATAACAAAAA